TTTTCACACAGCTTTTAATGTCGACGAGGAACTTTTCACACAGCTTTTAATGTCGATGAGGAACTTTTCACACAGCTTTTAATGTCGATGAGGAATCGTTTAGGCTGCTAAGTCTGTTTAATTACAAAAAAAAAAAATTCATAGTTCTGATGTTGTAGGAAAAACCAACCTTCGAGGGGTAAAACTTGAGCGATGGTACAGAAACTGTTTATCTTACAAATGTTTAACTTATCTGTAAAAACTCTGTTTCAAAAAATAAAATGTACACAAACATATTCAATAGTCAAACACTCTATCGCTATGAACATTGGATATACATATTCACTAGCCAAACACTCTATCGCTATGAACATTGGATATACATATTCACTAGTCAAACACTCTATCGCTATGAACATTGAATATACATATTCACTAGTCAAACACTCTATCGCTATGAACATTGGATATATATATTCACTAGTCAAACACTCTGTCTCTATGAACATTGGATATATATATTCACTAGTCAAACACTCTATCGCTATGAACATTGGATATACATATTCACTAGTCAAACATCCTATCGCTATGAACATTGGGTATACATATTCACTAGTCAAACACTCTATCTCTATGAACATTGGATATATATATACATATTCACTAGTCAAACACTCTAGCCCTATGAACATTGGATATATATATTCACTAGTCAAACACTCTATCTCTATGAACATTGGATATACATATTCACTAATCATGCAGTCTATCGCTATGAACATTGGATATACATATTCACTAGTTAAACACTCTATCGCTATGAACATTGGATATACATATTCACTAGTCAAACACTCTATCGCTATGAACATTGGATATACATATTCACTAGTCAAACACTCTGTCTCTATGAACATTGGATATACATATTCACTAGTCAAACACTCTATCGCTATGAACATTGGATATACATATTCACTAGTCAAACACTCTATCGCTATGAACATTGGATATACATATTCACTAGTCAAACACTCTGTCTCTATGAACATTGGATATACATATTCACTAGTCAAACATCCTATCGCTATGAACATTGGATATACATATTCACTAGTCAAACACTCTATCGCTATGAACATTGGATATGCATATTCACTAGTCAAACACTCTATCACTATGAACATTGGATATACATATTCACTAGTCAAACACTCTATCTCTATGAACATTGGATATACATATTCACTAGTCAAACACTCTATCGCTATGAACATTGGATATGCATATTCACTAGTCAAACACTCTATCACTATGAACATTGGCTAGTGAATATGTATATCCAATGTTCATAGCGATAGAGTGTTTGACTAGTGAATATGTATATTCAAACACTCTATCGCTATGAACATTGGATATACATATTCACTAGTCAAACACTCTAGCCCTATGAACATTGGATATACATATTCACTAGTCAAACACTCTATCGCTATGAACATTGGATATACATATTCACTAGTCAAACATCCTATCGCTATGAACATGAAATCATGAATTAAACTAATATGTTCAGCTTAAATAGATTTCTAACAGTACTTCATTGACGGATTAGACATATATCTAACAAAACTTTGTTAACAGATTACTAATACGTTCAGATTAGACCGGTTTCTAACAGTAACGTATTATTAATACGGACAGATTATACATGTTTCTAACAGAACACCAGTAACGTATTTTTAATACAGACAGATTATACAGGTGTCTAACAGAGATTTGTTAGAGGATTATTAACACATTCAGATTAGACGGATTTCTAACAAAACTTCGCGAATGTATTACTAATATGGACAGATTTGTAACAAAACTTCGTGAATGTATTACTAATATGGACAGATTAGACAAATGTCTAACAAAACTTCGCGAATGTATCACTAATATGGACAGATTTCTAACAAAACTTCGCGAACGTATTACTAATATGGACAGATTAGACAGATATCTAACAAAACTTCGTGAACGTATTACTAATATGGACAGATTTCTAACAAAACTTCGTGAACGTATTACTAATATGGACAGATTAGACAGATATCTAACAAAACTTCGTGAACGTATTACTAATGTGGACAGATTAAACAGATTTTTAACAAAGCTTCGCGAATGTATTACTAATATGGACAGATTTCTAACAAAACTTCGTGAATGTATTACTAATATGGACAGATTAGACAGATTTCTAACAAAACTTCGTGAACGTATTACTAATGTGGACAGATTAGACAGATTTTTAACAAACTTCGTGAACGTATTACTAATATGGACACACTTCTAACAAAACTTCGTGAACGTATTACTAATATGGACAGATTAGACATGTTTCTAACAAAGCTTCATTAACGGATTATTAGTATGTCCAGATTAGACAGGTTTCTAACAAAGCTTCAATAACGGATTAATAGTATGTCCAGATTAGACAGGTTTTTAACAAAGCTTCAATAGCGGATTAATAGTATGTCCAGATTAGACAGGTTTTTAACAAAGCTTCAATAGCGGATTAATAGTATGTCCAGATTAGACAGGTTTTTAACAAAGCTTCAATAACGGATTAATAGTATGTCCAGATTAGACAGGTTTTTAACAAAGCTTCAATAGCGGATTAATAGTATGTCCAGATTAGACAGGTTTCTAACAAAGCTTCAATAGCGGATTAATTATATGTCCAGATTAGACAGGTTTTTAACAAAGCTTCAATAACGGATTAATAATATGTACAGATTGGACAAATGTCTTCAGTACTATAGAATTTACGACGACTAGTTATGCCACTTCTAAAAAGTGCATATAGGTGAAAGAACAGCCAAAAAAGGAGAAGACACACGTGTGGCTTTAGACATAGTTTTGTGATCGTGTAGGGTTCGAGAATGAGTCACTACACTGACTCATCTTTTGTCAATGTGTGAAGGTCGAGGCGACTAATATTCCAAGTTTCATAGAACCTCTCAGACGACACAGAGAAAATTGGTTACTAATCTAATGGGATTTTCCCCCCTTGTCCTTTCGTAGCTTAACCTCCTATATTCTGGGATAATAATGTGAAATGTGTCGTAAATTAAACAGTTAATGTTTTTAGAAAGGCATATTTGAATAAAACAAAAAAAAAGGAAAAGTTAATGTATAAGAGGGTTAAAAATAAAACACGGTA